GTGATGGCGAAATCATACTAACGAAGGATTCCTATTTTTACTATTCAACCTATATCTATTATACAAAATGAAATATTAAAATATATAGGAATTACTTTTATTTTTAAGGTGACTGTTATAAGGACATTACTCACCGATTTTAATCGATTATCAATTCATTCTTCGTATTTAATGTCTAAAACTACTTTTTTTCACGAAAAAGATGTTAGATAATATTATGTTCCAAACTGAGACGATTTTTTAGGATAAACAACACGTAAAATGATTAAGTGAAGTTACGCTACAATCTTAAGGTGACAATAAATGGGACATCTACTCAGCTGGGATTAGCACGCGTATGTTTTTGTTATTTCTAGTGACTCGTCTCATTGGACGGACCATAGGACACTTTTCGTACGCATATAACTTTCCTCGAATAAAAACAGTGATCTGGAAGGGTGGGGGTTCTTACACGGGTGATTAGCCGTGGCTGGAAGGGACCTTGACATAATATCATTTGCCAGTCCGCGTCAACATTCCACGTTAACCCTTAGTCATTCATGGACAGTCCTCGAGAGAGAACATCTGTCCTCTTTAGAGTGTTTTAAATTAGTTATTTAGTGTTTATTCTCTGTGTGTGTATGTACTGTGATCTGCCTTTGTGATTTGAACGAATAACAAGTAAAAGTTTTAATATTGTATAACGATCCGTCTGTGCTTTTGTATGAAGTGTCGCAAGAAGATAGTCCAGACTCGTGTGCAGGTGTTACATATCACATTTTTGACTACAAGGTAAAAGTGTATTTTATTTCAAGCAACGCCAGTGATGTGTCGGTACTGCCGTGCCCTACACTTACCGCTTGTACGTAGATTGCATGGTTTCATGCGTTTTACACCCGAATTTTTCACTGTTAATAACTTCAAAATGAAGCTTCCAACTCAATTTCGCCACTTTTGATTTTCGTCTTAGTTTGACATATAGGATCGGCCCTTAATGTTTCTGACACCAGTAATTGAATACCCTGTATTTAGAATAGATCATTGTCAGGATTTATTATTCGTGCATTGCAGTATCAAACATATAAAAGATTCATTTGAAAAGGGATTCGAACTACTTGTTATAAATTGCGTGGCATAAAACCGTCCTAAAATTCTCAATTATTATGAATTGTGGTTAAAGTAAACTCGAACCAAGTGTGTCGTGTCTGAAATTACGTTAAGAAAAAAACTGTTTCTCCAGAAAAGGATAGATTATATTCCCTAGAAAAAAAAAGTGGTTCGTTTTCACTTTAACCACAATACATAAAGATTGAATATCATACTGACTATCCCACAAAATGAAAAATTTCTGTTTTTCGATTCTTTAAATTCCTTTTCAAGTTTTCTTCCGCGCCATCTTGCCCCATAAACGCCGAAACTCCCTAAAGAAAAAACCATTACAATGTCCAAAATTCCCCCCCTTCGAGCAGACCGACACCGGTCGCCGTGGGTCCGTTCGTTCCGTTTCTTTCGGCGCGTCCAGTTTTCCTCGGCGTCTAAGGAAAGCAACCGCGCTAGCTAGCTCGCTCGCTCGCTTGCATTAAAGAGCAATTAGCCGCGGCTCGCGAGCACGCTGATGCCCGGAAGCGATAGAAGCGGGCCGCGCGTGCCACCCTTGCCTTTTCTTCGTCTACCGCGGAACACGTACGAGGTACCCGTCCGTGTTCCCCCCCCCCACCTCCCCTCTCCCACTTCTCCACACACGCACGCGTACCTGGCGAGGCGTCTTACCTGCAGGCTCGCCTCGCAGGTACCAGGACTCTTCCCTTTGCTGCCTCGGCTGGCTCGCCGAGGAATTATTCACCGGCGTTGCCGTAACGTACTTACTTACGGGAAAAGAAACAGTTTCCACACGTTCGTGCTGACTCGAATCCTCCTGGACGACTTCAAAATGGCCGACGACAGAAATCCGTAAGAAAGGCAAATGTATCACGGTGATTTCATTAATTTCGCGTGTGCTTTTTTCCAGAAACTGAGACCAATGGGAGAGAAGCCAGACAGAGTTTATGTATAATAATCTGCATCCAGGGCCGTTCATGGGTTGTTGGTCGCCCGGGTGCGAAAACAGTATCGCCCTTATTAAATTAATATTATTCAATTTAGAGTTTAATATGCAATGTTTATATATACATATGTATATATATATTTTTTTTGGACGGTTAATGGACCCTCTTATCCGATGACCTTTTCTTGTTAAAACTGTTACAGCTTCTTTGATTGTTCGTTAAAACATTCTCACGATGACATTTTTCAGTGTTTAATAGAATCGGGAATAGAACCTTCGGTTGATTGGCAGATCAGAATGGTACAATATTTTTTTTGTGTCCTTAACTTTACCATTTTACTATCGTATACTGTATCCGTCCACAATCAAAGACCACCAAAATACAAAGGGTCGTTAGTAGCCTCTTCTTCATTCTTCCCTACCCGCTGCTGCCTGTTGCTTGCCAGCGTAACAGCTCGCTCAATTACCGTCGCAGATAATCATTATCACGGAAACTGCATCGCCGGGCCTCATTGCCCCAATCCTTAATTAACCGGCGGCCAGACTGTAATTGGTACGAGCCGGTGTACGACACTCGATCCATCGGCGAGAACGAAGGGCACGTGGTGAGCAACGTGAAACCGAGCCAGAGGTATACGTACACCAACTTCTTTCTTTTTCTTTTCCTTTTTTTTTTTGTCGTCCTCCTTGACGTGAACAAGCGTAACGATGGAATTTTAAGTGATACCAGATAAGAAATCGGTGGTCCCCCTTTTTTTTCCGTACGTGTAACACGCATGATTCGCGGTCGGATCGGTCTTGTAACGTGCACGGGTTTACACTGTGCGAAGAGATGTACAATGTTCTTAATCACGCGATTGATATGGAATCGTGTATGGCATAGCAGAGAGCAGGTGATAAAAATGGTGGTCGAGACTAATTCGATCCTCCGGGGAGGGACCGCATTCCGGTTCCGGTAGTCCTGCGTTCCATGTAATTTTCACCTTCCTCGTGGGGACACCCGGGTAACCTGAAAAATTTCGTAGTTAAAAATATCGGAAGTTCTAGCTATTTCGCAATTGTCGGTCTTCGCGTGAAGGCCGCCATTATCAGTTGAGTAATGTAAAAATGTGTCAACATCTGCAGTCCAGAGTGGGACTTACACGGTACCGGAAGTTGTAGATTCTACTGCAAATTGCTAGTATAATCTATTCCATCCTCGGACCATTCCATACTCTAATAAATACCAATCTCGCTTAATTCAATAATAATTAATTTTACATACAAATCTCCGCGAGCCATTTTAAAATCTGGACAGAACAAAGAAGTAAACGAGCTAGCTCCGGTTATAATCATCGTCGATCTAAATCTTCCCTAACTAATATTCACTGTCCTCCGAAACTGGTTTCCTTTCTCGAATAGAAAATCGACATCGTAAATTGAACCTTTCAAAATTTCCTTTCAAAGGAATTACACGTTCCCGATGAGGGGCGGAGGGGAGGAGGTGGCTCCGCGATATGCAAACTGCATCGTAATAATCGTTAGACAGCTTAATTATTGGGCCGGGATACGTTTCCGATGGTAACAGATAAAAAAAAGAAATGGTCCCCAGGCATCGGAGCCACGGGTAACGTTCACGATCGGCCAACATTGCGCTCTCCTAACGTCTTCCTACCGATAAAATGCAGGATGAATTTAATACCGTAACCTGCACGCGCGTGTTGCACACGCAACAGCCACGCATGCTACGGTTAATTGTAATTTATGCTCGGTCGACTTGGGTCTACAGCTCTCGCGCTAGTTACTTCATTTATACACATACTCCGCACTTTTTGTCTCCGATCCGCTGTTTGATTAATTTCGCGAAGTAACCCGTTTAATTAATCGGCGACTAAACTCGCGGAACACCGTGGCCAACCGCGATATTATTCACCCCGCGACGGTAGCCGATGGCTAAGTTATGGACATTTTTCTGTGGACCACGACTTTCTTCCTGTTCGCGAAAAATTTATTAGCTGGATTAACCTAATTGCCGCTTAGTGTTTCGAATTAAATTTTCCCGCGTGCACTGGCAACCTGCTGGAGCCTTGATTCCAGATTCATAACATCGCGTTCCAGGATCGATTTAAATAGAGATGAATTTGTCGACGTCCTCCGTAAAAAGGAAGAGGCCGTTGTTCACGCGTTTTAAAAAACAATATTGAATAAGGGAGTGAACGTATACAGAGTAGTCCACGCAATTTGTTCACCCTGAATAACTTTTAAAGTATGCATTGTATAAAAAAACTTTTTATAGAAAAGTTGTATGTTTTGGAGGGATACAGTATGTAATGTATATATTTTTTTTCGTAAGTGGAGGCGTTTCGGAGATTCGAAGGTCAACTTAGTTTTTTTAAATGGAATGCTATATTTTTTATTCCAAAATATCGAAGAGCGTTAAATATTGAGTAAAAAACTTTTATTAACCGGAACCGTAGAAACGTGCACGGTAGTTTCAGGCGCTAAATGTTCAGGCGGACGTCTTAATGTCTTTATTCCCCGGTTTACCGTCTTTCAGCAGAACGCTTTAGTTTTCTGCGGATCTCGCTTTGTCTCGATCGATGTTCGGTAAAAAAAGAACGTTCCGATCGGGCCCAGACTGGAATAGGCTGACCGACGATACTACGAGCAAGGGCCGACGATTATTGAGCGGGCAAAGATAAAAGGTTTTGGCTCCCATAAAACAAAGTGCACGCGGCCTCCACTTTACGCTGATCGATTTGTGGTGATTTTATAACTTCGCCTGTCCATAGTTGTTCTCGCGGAGATGCCGCGGTTCAAACGGGCCGCGATACTTTATATCTTCGGTGTAAACGCAAAATGGAGCTTTACATATTCAGACAGAAAGGGCTCGAGGCTCGCCGCATTTTTAAAAGGTTTCTTTGTGCCACGTCTGGCATTTGTGCCATCGTGCCTGGATAGTAACGCTGTTAGTTTCGAATAAATAAGAAAGTCGATCTTACTTGTGGAAGTATGTTTCTTATATTATTGCCTTACTCTCTTTGTAAATATAATTGTACACTCTAGTAAAATAGAAAATATTCTCATCTTATGTTACCATAAGACTATATTGAATTCGAACAGTAAGGAATGATATAATTTATGTATAGATCTCTTATACTGTATAAATAATATTACACATTTGACGGTTCTAATCATCACCAGAACTGCGAGTTTACTTGAGTCTTCGAAGTTGGGAGAAATATTTCGGACACACCTTACAATTAATATAATATATCTCCTGTAGATTATTCCTTCCGAGAAGAAAATATACTCTGTGGGATGGAGACGATCTCGTGCACATACGTCACTGGTTACACAGCTGCCGTAAACGATACCTACCAAAACGTTGCACGCGGAAGTTGAGGGCTACTCTTCATGCCTGCATTATTTTTATAATCTATTCAATGGAGATCATTGCATAGTAGACGTAGAATCTCTTGGACTGTCCCTGATGTGCATATTTAAATATATGTTTGTAACATTCTTCATACGATACTAATGGCAAGACTTCAAATAGGGCATTTCGATTCTGTTGAGCCCTCCGGCTCCGTGGAGAGATCCTCAGCTGCCAGAGCGAGAACCTCTTCACATACTCGCTTGTAAACCCATGCATCACCTTTCAACCTTTTCCTCCGAATACCGACTAATAATTTATCATTCGAAATACCCTCTAATAAACAAACTTCCAACTCGAACGAACAAATATTCCTGGAGGAAAATGGCCGTGCCGTGTCTTTATCCTCTTCTGTACAATCTTCTGTTTCCCCCTGGAGGATAAACCTACGGAAATATTTTAAATACGAATATAATATTCATTTTCTGTCACTTAATAATTGTTCTAGTATAGTTTTAGGCTTTACCCTTTTTGGTGGCACATGATTCCTTTACGACGAAGTGCTCGACGTAACTGTGATAGTACGTATCTCGGATCGTCATTGGATGTTGATGACACGTTGCAAAGACCCTTAAAAAGTAATAAAATATTAAAGTAATCTTATTTCGAAATAATTACGATTTAAGTAATGTCAGCAATCAGGTACGCACTTTGCCAGACAGTACAGTGGGTTGTTCAGGATCGATATTTTCATTCTTGACACGCCTCTTTGGCGTGAGGACACATCGCACCCGATTCAAGCCACGTTCTAAACCCATTATTACTTTTCTTGCACTTCCCGGTGTAGACGATTGCGTTCCTCTAAAAATGATTTATTATTTTATAGTAGCACATTAATGATTTTATTATTCTTCTACATTATACAATTTACCTTGTTTCTGATACTGGAGTATTGGTTGGGGTGGAAACGACCCCATCCTTTTCTGCCGTCCTTTTAACAGGGACTGTTTACAGTTTTATTATTATTATTGTTGTTGTTGTTACATTTATGTTATCTATTATGTAATAGATAAATTACATTGAACTTAATGAATCAGAAATGCATAGGTATTTAGATTTGAAAGGGATTGTAGGAAACTTGATAAGGAACAGTAAAAAGGTATTGTACCTTTAAGAAAAGGACAGGGTAAAGAATTCTTACAGATAGCTATTTGTAACTCCAAATTGTGTTTGTTCACAAGTCGTTGCTCTTCTCTGACTAATTATCTGCTTTTCACACAACTACAGCAATTAATGGCACTTGGAAACTTTCATTAAAGTTTCTAATTAGGTGGCTACCATCACCTAATTAGAAATAAACTTTAGAAAATATATTATAAAACTAACTACAACCGCTGTAATAGAACACTAGTATATACATCTAACGTTCATGGAAAAAGACAATTACTATAAATACAGTTGTATTTAACACAAAACTGAACGGCATACTTTAGGTTTTCGATCAAAATGACGCAAAAATTAACGAAAGAAGGATTACAAATTTCTGTAACATACCAGGGGAGCATGTGTCATCTGTTTCTTTACTTCGGAGTCGTTTCCTTCCAGGTATATGTGGTTCCATGAAATTGTCAGCTAGATGAAAATAATAAAACCAAATTATTTTACATTGTGCATTTGTCGGTACTACAAGTAAAAATTATAATGACTTACTTGATTCTGGTGTTTTTGGTAAAATGTTATAAGTGGCTTCTAATATGGGCGATTTAGTAACAGGTTTGTTTCTTGGAGAATAATCAAGATTAGTTATAATATTATTCTTTCTTCCGTCGGACTGTAAGTAGTGAGAAAAAAATATATTTAGTATATTTTGAAATACAAATTTTTAAAAAATATACTTTGTACACAATCTCTTACCTCTGATTTAAAATGAGACTTTGCAGAAGACGATATTCGAAGAGTAAGTCCACGAAGTTTTCTGTCCAGGAGTAATAGATATGTAGCAGTCTTATAATCAGTTCGATCACTTTTTACAAGTTTCTTCCATATGTCTGAAGCATGTTCACCACATATTGCAGACATAGTACTTAAAACATCATCATCTTTCTCGAACTGAAAATTTATTACTTTTATTAAATCTTGTACATACTATTGGAAATCAAAAATCTCTTACATTGGTTTTGTGAACAAACGAAACAGGATTGAGAAATCCTGCTGTAATCCACGGATGATTGCACAATTCTTGTATAGTAATTCTTTTTTTAGGATCTATTTGTAACATTGCTCGTATCAGTCTCCTACTGCTACTAGATAACCAACTTGGTTCGTCATATTTGCCACTCTAAAAAATTGAACTGATGTAATGTTTAATAAAATCATGAAAAGTAAGAAACTTACAAGAATCTTTCTATATAAACTTTCTATACTGTTATCATCAAAGGGAAGGAAACCACAAAGTAATGCATAAAGAAGAACTCCCATACTCCAAATATCTACTTCTGAACCTATAAACAAATAAAAATAAATTTATCCTATACATAATAATATGAGATAAAGCTCAGAAAAATAGCAAATACCCAAATATTTTTTTCCTAATATCAATTCTGGTGCAGCATAAGTTGGAGAACCACATGATGTCTGCAAATGTGTTTCTATCCCATTCTTTGGCTTTGCACATAATCCAAAGTCTATAAGCTTCAAATTTTCTTCCTTATCTAGCAAAACATTCTCCTAGATACAAAATAATATTGTTTGTTACTTACAAAAGGTACTTAATCGCAAAGAAGAATTCCACTTACTGGTTTTAAATCACGATGGGCATATCCTAAGTTATGTAAATATGCTACAGCTGATACGATTTGACGAAAGAACTTCCTTGATTCTGGTTCAGACAACCTATTTTTTTCAACTGTAAATAATAATCTCTTGATATTTCTTTTGTCTTATTAAGCCATGCAAAGGGCAAATACCTAAATACATCACATGTGACTTATAAGAGGCCACAAAAAATGATGAAAATTAATTTCAATTATATCTATATTACCTATATGGTCAAATAATTCTCCACCAGAACAATATTCTATCACCATAAAATAATGGCTTTCTGTTTCTATCACTTGATACAGTCTAGAAATGTGTTGATGTAATAAAGTTTTCAATGCTTCAACTTCTAATTTGACCCTCGGTAAGTCATCCTGAGAATCATTTGAATCAGAAAAATTTTGTCTGAACCGAATCAAACGTTTCCATTTACATTTTATAAGCTACTTACGCCCAGTGCAGTTTTGTCCATTATTTTGATAGCAACTTTCTCGCCGGTTGCAATATGAGTAGCGAGTTTAACTTTTGCAAAACCTCCGCTTCCAATAGTCTTTTCCAGATCGTACAAACCTTTAAGCGCAGCATATCGCACCATTGTGACAAATGTGCAACAAAATTCAGGAATAACTATGTAATTACGCGCTGTCAATCACATCACTTTTGAACACACAATTCCTAACGTAAACAAGTTTCGAAAGCCAATCAGGTTACAGCATTTCATACAACCAACTTCTAGTCATCAACGCTGCCAATATAAAGAACCAAATTAGAGTTGCTTTGGAAACTTTTATGGCTACGTTGCACGAAGAACTGAAGCATCAGTATCTTAAATATTATACGAATATGAATAATTAATGAGAATAATTTACTCGAACGAATTATTGTGGATTTCTTTTTATTTCGAATGTATACATAACGTGTTGATAAAAAGGTTTCACAAATTACAAAGAAATGCGTAGATAACAGAACGATTTAAGTATCCGAAGAACGAGCAGAGTACACCACTATTCAAATTATTTTGAGCATCCGTGAATAATTGAGTACCAATTCGAATGTCGAATACCTAAACAGTTCTAGCGCTCAGTTACGGTTTAGAATTTTATGTCACAATTTATAATATTGCAAGAATACAATTGCAAAAGTACAATAAAACATATTCTTCCGCGTTTTTGAATTTCTCTTAGATGCATGAAGGTACAATAAGGCTGTACGTACGTTAGGTAACCACTCATAAAGAGAATTTTCAAATATGCCTTATATATTAGTGATTTACTGTAAAAGTATTTTTAATTTACAGTATAATGCTATACAGTTAGAAAACACGTTTACTGTTCATTTAACTATTTAGCTTATATGCGTTCGAAAGTTCTGCATAATATTCAAAGAATCCTATTCTTGAACATAATGTATACACATGACAAAAGTATTAAAAAAAACGGACGCATAAGTACTTCGAATCGTAATTTACATTTAAACATTGGTATTAATATTCGATTCGTAGCAATTGTAAGAATGGACCACTTAAACAAATTCAAATATGCCAGGGAAAGAAACAAGTTCAGATTAAAAGTCTGCAGATACAATATAAGTAGACGTAGCTTACTGCATAAATAATATTTCCCTGTGTTATGCAAACAATAAAAGAACAAAATATTTAGTCTTTGGAGTGTTGACTACTAGAACTAGTTGAACGTGAGCGGCGTTTGAATTTTGGTTGATTATTAGTGTCCGACATATTATCACTCTTTCTTCGATTCTTATCTGTGTCGTAATTAGAATTAGAGTTGTTTGTCCTTCTGTAATCATTACGTCTGTCATAATATCTGTAATTATCTCTGCCTGGTCTGTTCATCCTATAAGTATCCCGTCTGCGTGGATAATAGTTCCTCCTATTTCTTCTATCACGACTAGTCCTACGATCGTAATCCCTATCCCGAGATCTTCGACGATCCCGTGATCTCGAACGACCACTTCCGCGTCTTCTACTCCTGTCCCGCGACTCACGTCGTGAAGATCTCTCCCCGTATGACCGATGTGAACCACGCTTTACTGTTTTATCATTTTTATGCTTTCCGTCTACTTTGTCCTTTGTCATAGAATCATTTACATCAGAACTAGCGTTCAAATTATCTTGGTCCTGTTCCACGTTTTTATCGTCATCCTTCTTTTCTTCCAACTGATCATTCTCCTTATTCTCCAGTTCTTCGGATACCCGTGTATCAGCATCGAACTTGTCCATCATTTGACTATCTTCGTCAGGATTCTCGGAAAACTTTTTAATCCTATCCGCCTCGCGTTTCTTTAATTCCTCTTCCTTTTTTAAACGTTCTTTCTCTAATTTCTGTAATTTAATTTCAGGTGAAAGAAAAAAATTAATTATAGTTATATTGTTTTATTGCGTAGGCAGAATCGGTAACCATTAAACTTTAATTGAACCATTAAGACTTTAAAATTATATACCTGAAATTCGTGCAATTTAATAGTACGATTTTGAGCCTGTTTCCAATGAGGCGGTGTTACGCTTCTTGAACGACTACGCGAAGGTGTATGATAACGCTGAAATATTATTTATAAGTAATTATCTTCATTATTATATTTTAAAATATCACACTTAAAAAACAACTATTTTTGTAGTAGTATATTGAAAAATGTTTGAAAGATGTATACATACCGGGTACCATAAATTATACACAAATACTTACAAATATTCCTCTTCCTTTAAACATGCGACCAGTTTTTCTATGTGATCGTACCCGGTCCCTTCCATAATGTTGTCGAAATTCTTTTTGGTTTGCATTATTAGTAGGCCCTGCTCTATACAAAAATTTATTAGCTGGTACTTCCGGTATTTCATCCGGATCGATTTTAGTTACTGAAACAAGCGGATGAGGTTTTCCAAGATCATCTTCGTTTGAATCATGAATTTCACCATCTTCTGACTTTGCTCTTTTCTTGCTGTAACATTAGTGAAAAGTGTTATTATATTTGTAAGTTAGTCTATAGATCGTTGGAGTTACAGAACGTATTATACTTTTTCTTAGCTTTCTTTTTCTTCTTAGATTTTTCTGCATAGGATTCAGAATCTGAATCCGATGAACTACTTTCTTTCTTTTCGCGTTTCTTTGCTGTAAATAATAATAATAAATTAAGTTGTAATATATCAATGTTTTTTTTAATAAGCTGAAATGAAGATTTTACTTGCCTTTATTTTTAACCTTTAATACAAGTTCTCCGCAATTTACAACCTTAGCATCTTGTAGTGGACGGGACATACGGTCTACAGGAAGTCCCTCAATATGTGTAACAATTTCCTGGCCAGATACTACTTCTCCAAAAACCACATGGACACTGGAAATATTTACATTCAAGCATAAGAACACTGTTGAAAAGTAATTTTAGAACATAGCACAATTTTTTTTACACAACACAGTTGTACTTACTTGTCGAGGTGAGGCGCTGGTTGTGTTGTACTACAACAACAAAATATGATTAAGGGGATGAGAGATGAACAGAAAGAGCCAGCTTTCATTGGTCATTGTGTTGTAGTAGTGGTGTGCAGACCCTTCCCTCATGACTACACAGAAATATAGCTAAGTTATTCATTCCTCCAATGATATTTTTACTTCTATGCTTTTTAATATTCTCCAGACATTTAATATGATTCATACAGACTATCATGTATGAAATGACTGTTCATAACACCATAACATTAATACTTGAGAGGGAACAAATTTATTATAAATGTCAACACACCCAATTTTCTTTTTATTCACTTAAGTTACCACCTATTATTTATGCAGAGCATATTCAAAGATATATTAAAGCCTAGAGGATGGTTAAAATGTGAGATAAATATATGTATTAAATTCCTATTACCTTTACCTTTTGTAGTTGACAAAGAATACATCTGTCAGCAGAGAAAAATAATTTTGAGCGAGTAGAAACATTAAAAAATAAAGTGTACTATAAATATTAACTGTTTAGTAAGCAGATGATTTGATTAATAATAACATGGAAAATAAATTTTTAGTAATACACTATAATCCATCAAATTCATAATATTTTTAATTTATCACACCATCTTGCAGTTTCTGGTCTAGTCCGAAGCTAATTAATTATTTTATATTATTGAGAAGACATATACATTTATATAAAATGCGCTAATTTCTTTTTAGCAAATACTCACATAAAGAATTGTGAACCATTTGTATCTCTTCCACGGTTTGCCATTGATAATAAAAATGACTTGTTATGTTTCAGAATAAAATTTTCATCTGAAAAATATTGTTTTGCATACCTTAAGTTTCTCACAATACTTTTAGTTTCATTATTACTTATAAATTTACCTGCAAATGTTCCTCCATAAATAGATTCACCACCTGTTCCATTACCTACTGAAAAATCACCACCCTGAATCATAAAATCTTTAACTACTCTATGAAAAACAATTCCCTTGTAATGCAATGGTTTTCCAGTCGTTTTCCCAATTCCATTCTCTCCAGTACATAAAGTACGAAAGTTTTCACATGTTATTGGACAAACATCAGCTAATAATTCAAAGACTATACGGCCCATTGGGAGACCTCCCACCTCTATATCAAAAAATACTCTTGGATTAACATTAACCATGGTGGACTCTTCTTTTGTAAGTTCCTGAAAATATTAATAATTGTAAAAAAAATTATTTGACCATTTAAGTGGAAGACATTTTATATAAATCTTATTCCATACAAGTTTTTATCAGATATCTGTAATTTTATAGTTTGTGGACAGGATATAATGAATATTTATGCATTTTTTTTTTGTGACCATAAAACTATTTTTCAGAAATTCTGGATAAGAATGTTCTAAATTTCACCGAATGTTATATGGAGTATCTCAACTCAAAGTTGATTTCCATTATTTCAAGTGAAAATAAGTCTAAACCTTATCAATAAGTACAGGTCCCAAGGAGCCTAATTTTATGAATTTGTAGTATACCAGGACCATCAAATATAATGTTCCCTCCCTACAATGAGTCACTCAATAATGTCACAGTCAACAAAACTGTAGCGTTTCCCTTACGTTCATTAATGGTACTTTAACCCCTTAATGCACGGTTTTTTCGCAACATAATGCCACTTGTTCCAGTTAATTCAAGTATGCGTGTTAAGGGGTTAAAACACAAAAAGGTGAAATTACAAAAGTAAGGAGCAATGTGTTACCGTTACAAGAAGACACAAAAATACTCGTGAAATCCGGAAACCAAATTTTTAAACTAAGGTTAGAACCACAGAACCTAGCCGCTTCGCTTATTTAGTGAACTGTAAACTCATTAGTATGTACACAACACTTCTATCATTTTCTCTCGCAGTTGCACGCGTTTGTTGTATCAATACGCAAACATCAACAACATATAACCGTGGCAATGGACTAGTCAATCGCGTGTAAGTGATCACCCGGTGCCATATTGTTAAATCCATGCGAGTATTGTTAATATATAGGAATAACTTGCCCCCACCCCCCTCAAAAACCATAAGCTTACCAATTGAAATGGAGGCACTCTCTTGTACGTGATATTCAATGGCATATAAAGCATTTTCCAAAAATGAAACTGTGGAAATTGTCATTAAAAATATTACCAATGGTGTTAGATCATCTGTGGAAACCCCCCGAGTTGATATTATGCATCAACAATTGTTGGATATAATATGATTATAATTAATATTTCAATTTATAATGGCCGAAAACACCGTATCATATCACTATCTACGATATAATTCGTCTAAATTATCTAGTTAATTAACGCCCATTTTTTCTTTGTAGATGATGTCACTATACCATTTTTATAAGCGAATAACAATAGTGAAAAATGACAGTTAAAAATATTATTGCTTATAGAAAGGAAAGATACGTATCAATTGTAATAACAATTGTTAATGCCGATATAGGGGGTTCTACAGACAATTCAACACCACTGGAAAACACTTTCAATCGTAATTTTTGCGGGCTTTTCTATATATTTCAAAATTTTTTTCAAAATCTTTGTATGCCATTGATCATTAAAACATTAGAGAAAGCTTTCATTTTGGCTACTGACCCTTAGTTGTTCGGTGTGGAGTGGACAAATATTTTGACCGCCAGTGTATGCATGCCGATTTGTTTGCACGGACAATGGTAAATGTTGGTGGTAGATCCGGGGTGATATGCGTCGAACAGTACAAAAGAATTTCTCACTAGGAGAATCAAGAGTACAGTATTCAATTATACGGGTCTACGATGTTAAAAAATTTGCGAATACGAAAGCTTGCAAAATTGCTGTATAATTAATTAAACGCTTATCATAATTGATTAAGGCTACGAAGTTAGTTCAGAGAGTGATTGGACACTTTTATATACGAATTGTAAAGGTAGAGTGGTTACGAGATTTTTAAATCTTCTTCAAAGAGTCATAGTGTATTTAGTGGTTCTGTTATTCGTTTCGAGCAATTAATTTGGTATACAATACCTGTTCGCACACGATTTTTATCTTTGTTTATACAATTCTCAAAGTACTTAATTTTTAAGGTAAGTTATCGCATTGTGTATGCATCCATAAGTAACAGTATTCATAAATTACAGCTGTTACGTTAGTAAAGTGCAAAAAAAATCATTGTTTTTTTGTCAAAATGATATCGAAATTCAATCGAATTAGTTATTTGAAAATGAATTCAATAAAACCATTTTAAGGTTGTTAAAGAAGATATAGTATAGTAGTAATAATATAGAAACAGATGAAGATGATGACATGTAACAATGAATTTTTTAATTTTTTAGGTGCATGGACCACATAAATTTAAATGAATATAATGCAGTCTCAATTAGCAACAACCCCTCGAAAATTACCAGTGTTTGTGTTTCCCCAAAGTATCACTTTCTTTTTAGACGATCAGTCTACTCATAAACAAGTTTTGACTTTATATAATCCATATGATTTTCCCATAAGATTTAAAGGTAAATATTCTTGTATGTATGAAAGCTAATAACTCAATTGTGATTTCTATGGAATTTATTATCATTGTAGTATTATGCACTGCACCAAATAAGTATAAAGTTGTTGATCCAGAAGGTACAATTAAAGCCAGATGCTGTGTCGATATTGTTATCAGACATACTTCCCCTTTGTTAAACAATTGCAATGTTATAGACAAATTTAAAATACAAATGCAAGAACATCCAACTAAGCAGGTAATTAGCTAAAGTAGTTAATAATTCAGTAGGATTGAAATTACAATTGTATTATTAAACTAAATACAATTTAAGACTCTGGGAACATTATTAGGCTATAGGAAAACGATATGTTGAAGCTAAACTTCTTCCTGGAACAGCAGATACAGCTGGGAGATCTACTCCAGATCCAGAAATGTTTCAACAGCTGCCTGTTAATGAAAACAGACAGCAGCAGTCTTATCCACTTATAGATCAAAATAAAGCAATTGATAGTAAGTACATACTTTTCAAATGTCAGGAAGTCTATTTAGTTATCTATTGAAGTAGATATAAGAGAGAATGGAGAAGTATAAATATATCTGAATGGAAAAATCATTGCTTACCATTGCAGAAGGTAAATCCAAGATATTCTTTAAGTCATCAAAGTTGCAATATGATTTAATTCGTGGAGACATTCAAGATAAATTGACAAAAACATTTATATCCTCAGATCTGAAAAATGCCAATTATATTGTTACGGATAAAGGTTAATATGTTAGTATTTGGAGCTAGTTGTTAGGTTTATATACACATCCAATTAGTTTGAAGCTACTCTGTACTATTCTATTTTTCTTAATGACATTCGTTTTTTATAGATTAAAAAAACGTATTATAAAGTTTGCTAGAATTAAAGGTAGAATAAAAGCATGCTTTTTTTATTACATACAACCTATAAAATGTGATTACATGTATAGAGAATAACAACTATGTGTAAGTAGTTAAATCGACATATATAATTTCTAGGAGGAACAAATTATGTAGCACTGATTGCTGGAATCATATGTATAGTTGGATTACTTCTACCTACAGAAGGGGAACAGAATAATAGAGTGCCTGATTACCTTCACCTTTCCATAAACTTTAAATTAATATTTTCATTTGTATTAGGTGAGTACATTAGTAGCTATTCCTAATTGAAGAACATAAACATAATATTTTCCTCGATTACAGGTATGGTTACAATAATTATTTTAAGGCTATAATTCTCGGCTTTATACGTGTGAAAAAAAAATTAATACAGTGATTCAAATCATGGGACAAAAAGCACAATTAATGTAAGGTCTTTCGGTATTAAGTCTCTCTCTTTTGTTACTGGATATACCTGATTCTAGTCTATAAATAATAAGCTGTCACGTTATATTGTGAATATTGCTAATATTTATTGACATATATGAAACCTTTTATTCTTTTAATACATATATGATATACATTCTTATTCAAGTTCATGCTTCATTGCTCTATGTATGCATAAAGAAAATTTGTATATATACTAAAGAAATTCTGATGGAGCTATGATCTTTTTCTACGAAAAGATAGAATATTTATATTGAAGTTAATACCTCGTTTCAGGTTAAAATGCTTTTTACATAGACAAGTTGTGTATATAACAGATGATTGAGATTTACTTATGCATTCTACAGAAATATGATCTCAAGTACAAATGTATAAATATATTGTGTAAAATGAGTTTCGAGGTTCAAATAACCTTGAATAAAAATGTTTGAAAAACAAAATGATTTTTCATTTATATAATGAAATGTCGCTTGTTTCAATATTATGATCATCGATTTTTGATCAATAAACATAAGAATAAGTTATTTTATTTCGGAAATAAGAGTTTTCATTTTTATTATCAACATGTATTTATTATTTACATAAGTTACAATGGAACACTTGTGAATAAAATGTGTTACCGAATAAGATGTCCATTCAAATTTTTTAGTCATAAAATATTTTTCTCCTAAGAAATATCTTCTCACAAGTATCAATTGGCTAAACAGAAAAATATACAAATAGTATTAGAGTCTACAGCAAAACTATTATGATAAATATACTGAAAGATAGTGACTTCATTAATTTACCTGAAAGTCCATCGTGAAGAACTCAAATGCTTGAGTTAATATCACACAGTATTATAGCCGATGAACATTCTTTAAACTTTCATTGTGGGTTTTGTACTCCATAGAGGCACTAGCTGGAAGATGTAATACTCTCCTTAATGTGTCTCTAATACGTGTTGTGGTTGCATGATCAGATGCAGTCTTATTCCATACACATATCACATCCTCCTGCAACAAATTATTAATAATATTTAATAATTCCTTTGCAGCATAGAATTATTGTTACTTCTACTCTAAGATAATAAAAATCTATCTTACTTGAAACCTTATAGATACTACAGCTCCACATATTTCTTCTCCAACCATAAACTGTTCGCCTAACATAGCTAATATCAGATTTTCCCAACATCTAGATACTAAACCCTTTCTTAATCTTACTATCCATTTACCACCTTTCTGATTTGCTTCATCCTGCAACAGAGAATATATATTATCATAGGAAATAGATTTATTAGATGAATAAAGAGTTAATTATAAAAGGTTTTCAAAAATAATACATACTTCCCACATTGGTTTTATGCCAACTTTGAAAAGGTGGAAATGTGTATGTGTTGTCAATTCTGATGGCCGGACTAAATGACTATAAAGACTCCAAAATTGTTCCACACTTGCAAACCTACCAACCAATTTTAAATTTTGGTCGTAACTTTGTATGCTTGACTGTTTACCAGGACTGAGTCGACTATACCATAATGCATATGCATATTGTAATTTGTGCTCATTTGGACTAATTTCTATACGAGGCTACAATAAGTACATGCTATTTAATTGGTATATCACTAACAGATAAAACTATATTCAATAAACAAAAGAAAACCTTTTACTTACTAGTGGATCTTTCTCAATTTTTTGATTATCTTTTGTCTGTGTTTCATCATCTCCACTGTCTTCATTAGCCTTTAACCTGCAAGTACTATTATCATTTATATATTGTTATAATGAAACTATAAAAGCACAACTTTTTCAAAACAATCTTAAACATAATTTTTTTTCACAAGCAAAGTAAATCATCTGTAACAATTCATTCCCAGATTTATTTATATTGTACGTTTAGCTAACAATTCCACAGGACTGTTTTTACTCTGTGATTGTCATATATTTCGAAATATAAAAACCAGAAAATTTAAACTACTGTACACATAGAGAAATACTTTGTGCCTGACAAATGTCAAGTCGTATCACACGTTTGATTCTACGGAATTTCCTGAAAAATACCTTGTCAGCACAATCAACTAACACGTTTAATTTGCTCGATTAAATAAATGTCAAGCGTGATAGAACGCAATTGTATCGATCAATTTGGTTTTCCATTTAAAACACATCTAACCTCTAGCCCACAGAAAAAGGCACGACTTCATAAGGGAAACACTAATTTCACTTACGCCTCGAATTTATTCGACATGTTTCAGGCTGTGATACAATCGTGTACAGAGTATTAAGTAAATACTATAAACAGTATATATTTCAATAAATACAAATAAAAATATAAACGCTTCTCGGTCTCCGTTCCCTTTTCTCACGTTCTCCCATATGAATGTTTTCGATAAATTGTTGATCTCCCCACTACTTTCGTTTTTGTCGCTTTGTCATCAGAGATTTTACATTTAGATGTTGGCTATACTAACAATAAGAACTAATTATACAGGGTGTTCATATTATTAATACCTAACATTTCTTGTGTAAATGATTAAGGATAGAATAAGGAGAAGAGGATAAATTAAAAATTTTGTTTCAATAGAAAATATATCTTGTAAATGTGATGGTATACTTATAATATGGTTTAGTATAATGTTGAACATGATAAGAAATTAGAAAGGCAAATTGAAAATTAAAAATGTGATACTATATAAATTCATTCATGTACAAAAAGTAGTAACTTTTTAATATATTGTCATGATTACATCACTTATTTACAGTGGATTAAGTAACAACAGTATAAATGTGATATAAAATATTATAATATTATAATTATATAGACTTTGTACTTTAAAATAGTAATATCCAGTATAATTATACTTAAGTACCTATAAAGATTATGAATTTATTATAAAAATTATATATGCCTTTCGAAAGCCAAACTGATCAACTCTATTTTCAACAAATTTCTCAATTTTAATATTCTTTACGAATTAGTCAGGTGGCACGGCGATGTTCAAATATCGTTAACTTTCGGTGCTTTTTATTGCGTGGACTTGATCAATTTGGCTTCTAAGAGACTCGAACCATATTATATTATTTTAGATCAATATTAATCCTCAGCTGATCATGACTTCTAAGAGTTAAACAGTGTATAACAAAACATCTGAACTCTTAATGTACGATAATTATAAATGTGTGTTAATTGTTTTTAACTTTAGCCAACGAGAATTCTAATTTCAATCTTTTCATAATTTCTTCTCGTTGATACATGACTTCCCTGAAGCACAGTTCCGAAAATACGATCGGACACTCGTATTGCACCGTTTCCATACACTTTGTGTCGTTAATACCGTCTCGGTCAAATCTGAATTGCGATATTGACTCCACTGAAATGTGAATCAGAATTTTAAATTAAAGTCATTTAAAAGGCTGATCGATCCATTGTTGCCGGTTTTGAATCTCGAGGAATTCAACTCACAGCATCCGAATTTGGAGAAGAAGCACGTATGATGTTTTGATGTGATCAAATAACCGTTGCTATCTTGCCTTACGGCATAATGACCCTGTGCAACATGTCGAATAATCGGTATGTGACTTAAATGTTCCGTATACTCGACCGAATATTTCCAATGGTCATAATTACCACTTTCCGCGATTATGTTAAACTCTTCACTAAAATAAGGAGAAACAAATTCTGTAAAATAATTTTAAAATTAAAACGATTGTACCGGTGATTATGAAAATAACCTAAGTTATATACTTATTCTTCATTTTAAGAAATTTTGATTTCCGTATTTTCCACATACATTGAAATTCAGCCTAATAACAACTATCGGCACTATTAAGAGGTTCAATTTTCAACTCTATTTTAAAAATACTTTCGTATTATTATAATATAAATCAATAGAACTCAGAATAACTGGCATGTTCACTTTTTTTAATTATTGACTTAGATCATTTTTACAGTCACCAGTACACTTGTCACTAGATTATTGAACAGAATGAAAGATAGTTTAACGCTTAGTGCAATTTAAGTTAAAATAATAGAAATTTTTATGTCGCCATCTGGGTTCCGTAAAATTATTTGAAAAAGCGTGGGTGTACACCAATATGTTTTTTACTTATTACATAAATACGCGACAGACCGAGTCTTTTTATAACTGAAGATCTACTGTAATCATTTTTTTCCACGTACAGTGTTGGATTTAATTTCTTCATATTGCTAAAATCGGCTACGTATTCCCAAACATGTATCGGATTCGAGTCATTTATGGTGTCCTCAAATATTACTTGATTCTTTTTCTTATACACAAAGAGCATATAAAACGCGAATAACGCTAACGTGGAGTATAGTACACTTCTAGTTTTCCACTTCATCGGGTTAATACCCATTTCTAAAATATAAAAATGAAGTTTTTTATAAACATAGACAGGAAACTGACCGCATTGTTTATACATACTAATTGTGCGCTCGTCCTAGATCCAAACGAGTCGGATGTTCTGTGTTATATCTTCAATATAAACAAATATACCCCACTTACTTGTACTAAAATTTTAAAACGAACCGAAAATATTACTTTGATAGTCTTTTTTTTTTATAAATTTAAATAGAATACTCGACGGACCAGTCCTTTCAGTTCCATTCAACTTTGAGGAATTTGTACTTGATAACGACAACTTCCGCCGGTGATAAATTATGACAGAGATACTGTTTTCGTTTCAAATATCAGAGCAAGCACTGCGATGTTAGCAGCTAACAGTTAGCTGTATTTCGCTATTTCGCTCTCCACGATTCACTACGGAGTGTTTCATTTCCCTTCACTCAGTTGGTCCTCGCTGCTTCCAGTGACTTGATTGTGTATATAGCAGTATAAAAAGAATATAGAAAAAACGCACAAATTGAGATTGAATAATTTTTCTATCGGTATCAAATTTCATGTTAGATATTCTTGGGTCATTAATTCATACGAAAAATTATTAATCGAGACCTTTTCAATTATTATTTAATTGCTTGAAACGTAAGAAAAAGTTACAAAACGACCAATGGCGACATCGACGGTAACACTCTGAAACTATTAGCCAATTGGTACCGTATTCGTATATTTAGGTGGCGCCATAATTCTTTTAGATGTGACATAAATGAAAGTGTCAGATCGGGAGTAGTCGGGAGGCTGCTCCGTGAACGGACTCTGTTTAACAGGGAATCTCGCTTGCACTACCATGCTTGTGTACTCTTTTGGTTCGGGTCTGGTACGCAGGTGACCAGCCCAAAGCTCCATGACAGTAAAAGATGGATCCGGGTTAGCGAGGTGTCGCCCGTCTTTCCTATTTTCTTAAACCAGGTTCTGGCGACAACACTTTCATCGCGATACTTGTTCATACTGTAGTTTAACGCGTAGTTCATCGTAGACTTAATAACTGCTTGGTATATAGAATATTTGGTGCGCAAACGAAATGATCGATGGAACTTTTTCCATTCCGTCTATCTCTTTCGTTTGAGTATTAGCGACTACATTGCGTTAAATTTGTTATTTCGTATTACTAGCATTAATTCGTATTAATTAGAATATTAAGATAATATTAGTTCTAAGCTGAAGAACGAAGACAACCGACGAGGGAACTTAGTTTTTTATAGGTTTAGGCTCAAGAAAGAAGTCATCCGCCGAGGGATTTTAGTACCGATAGTATTAGATAGTTAAGATTTAAGTTATTTATAAGGTTTATTGTGAAAGGTAGGTAGATGTGGAACTTGTGATTCCATCTACCTGCCTTGGGCCTCCACTCGCAGCAACCTCCTCGTGGTGAGGCCTGGGCAATCGGTATTGTCATCGGTAAAGTACTGTAAACTGATGACAATATCGAGCTAATGGCTGCGAACTTCGAATCTATCTGATAAAACCACGTTCTATATTACATCGAACTACGATTATTTTAGAAATCGATATGAGATTCAAAGTGTAAAAATGTCTAGTACTTTGAACGTTTTAGAAAATTATTCGAGATAAAGATGTATGCACATACTTACCGGAATAATAATAAATAATTGTTAATATAGAGCATTCCTTCAGGAACATTTCATAAAAGATTTGTTATTACACACAGTACATCAATATTTAAGTGGATTTTTACTATTTATACTAAAATAACATCAGATACCTAAAAACATTAAAAGCTAACTCAGTATTGCAAACATTTTTATTTAACATAATTTAATGACTACCTTTTCGTATAGTTTCTTACATGTTACACATATTGCTAATCATAAATGTGTACGTATTGTGCAACATATATTACCTTCTCAGATGCTATAGCACATTCAAATACATATTTAATGAAATTTAAATATTTTTTAATGTATACCCAACAATAAGTCGTATTTCATCATTGGCATTGCAATTGTTCTAGAATGTCAGCCTAATATGTATAAAATTATAAAAACAATAATTTGTCACGAATTAATAACCAGCAATCACTAATAATTTTATTATGCTTGATCTTAGAAAAGTATAAATCAGTATTTCATTATTTTATGTATTAACAAATTTCGTTTCTAATGTTGTTTGCTTTCTTAAGCATCTGTTCTACGTGATGTGGTAACCATGCCTTTAATTCTCGTGGCATGGACATGTATTTGAAGTTTAACAGTCTTACCAAGCCATTTTGATAACCTGCTACTAACCACAAGTAGCTCCAAGTGTTTGGGTTCCAAGATATCTACAAATTAATATGCAATGATAATAATACATCCAGCTACAATAATGAAATAAAGAATGCTAACATTTACCCTATTTACTGATGTAAATGGATACTCTTCCATTGAAATTGCAGTTAGCTTTTCTGTGTACAATGACTGTGGTTGTGCGTAACGCTCGGTATCCTTTTAAAACGAAATATAAATAATATATTATAAAATATTAAACTTAATTGAAAAATATCACATACCTGTAGATTATCACAAAATAAAATACCGAAACGATCTTTGCATTCTGTGTAAGTTTCGGGCATGTACTGATACTCTTTTGAATTCTTTTTGTCATTCTCAACCTCACAGTTTGCCTCTGTGAAGTCTATTATTTTAATATATGAACTTAACTGAAAACAAGATTTAGGTTTAGCTGGTATGCCAATAATTCCAAAATGTTAAATATATCAGAGGGTTACCTTTCTTTTCTTCTGTGTGGCTTTATCAATATCCTTAGTGTGTATAAGTTGATGAGGAAAGATTGTTAATATCTCTCCTGCTAATGTGCCATGTGCAATACTATTTCCATAATCAGAGACTGATAAAGTCTGCAACATTGTCAAATAATTAATTACATTGTATCTAAATGTACAAAGATCTTACAGTTACTTACATAAGTAGGAGAATTTGTTGGCAAAATTGGATAAAATCTGGATTCCTTATCTCTTAATGGAATTAAATAGGAATTCGTATGTTTATATCTACAAAATTGTGTGATTATTAATGAGTTTTACCATGCAACAAGAGCTTTTTCAATGTTGATTCTTACCCAAGCGCATCATCAAAACTAATAACAGCACATGGCCAATGTGTCATCCATGCGCCATCTGCTATAATACCCTTCTGCGTAGAACTTTGAGGGGTACTTGTATCTTCTAAATTCCAGAATTTGTATCCTCTGTCTAGACTACCTGAAGCTAAAAACCTTGCTCCATTGAATGGGACTAGCGCGACCACTATTAAATAACAGAGTTTTGAGCATCACCTTTTAAACTATATTCCATCGTATATATTTTGTATAAGGAAAATGCGAATATACTTACTACTCACAGCATTACCATGAGCAAAAAAATGCTGGAATGCATTTATGAAATATGTATTTTGTCTCTTTTGCATTGATAATGGTGATCTATTTGTAAGATCCCACAATGCAATATATCCATTTGAAAATCCAGCAGCAATTGTACTAAGAGAAAATGTGCAATTATGTTACTACAAAATCGAGAAAAAAAACATACTTAGAAAAACCTACTTATGTCCATGTTCTTTGCTCCAAGATAATTTAGTGCATTGCCAGTTCTGATCATTACTATCGTACATTGGTATATTTACAACCAGTATCATAATTGGATCAGTGCGATATATGGGCCATCTGTAGTAAATATTATCATTAACGTAACTATGAAAAAAAAATCTAATGAAGTTATTACTTACGTATTTTCCTCGGTTTCTTCAAATTTGAGTTGCTCCGGAAAGGGCAGTGAATAAATGTACACATTGCCATCTGAACAAGCTGCTGCAAGCATACCCATTCGCTTAAGTTTAGGTTGCAGTTCCTTTTCTTGTTTATGTTTGTTCAGACTTTCATCTTCATAGCATCCAGACGGACACCATTCTAAACACCATATGGTACCAGTGTTATGTGCAAGAGCATACGATAAGGCGGGTACTCTTTTATTATCAGCCCTAAAAAGAAATATTTTTAAAAATATCGAACGTAATTGCATATATTATTTTATTTATATTATTGTTACTAACGTGTGATCTAAAGTTCCTACGTTCCAAATTTGTATTATATTAGGTCCAACATGTGCTTTTCCTACAGTATATTCACTTTCCATAGTTGGATGAGTACTGATAGCAACATATTGAGTAGGTTCTTTAGAGAACATTGGTGATGGTATCGGCAACCATGCTAATGCCCATACTGGACCACCGACAAAAAATGTTGGAATCTCTGAACAAATATTTTAATTATACCGTGTACATTTTTATAATCTCATGACATAGAATTATGCGTAATTACCTTGATCAAAACCACCTTCAAACCTTTTCCATTGTTTCCATGTAGTTTCTGTATCAGACAATTTGTCAGATTGTTTACTTTCTGTCTTTGTTCTCATGGAAACTTCTGATTGTGGTAAATACCTAATAGCATCGGAATTTTTTAATAACGTAAATTCATTGGGAGTTTGATCTTGATACAAATGAAGCTCATAATTTCTTTGCTCACTGTAAGAAAGTACAATATATTTATTTTTATTGTAAATTATGAGTAGATTGCGAATGTTTATGCACATTCAGAATTTTTTACACTATTGTATGAAAATCAAAAGTCAGCAGATTATATTTTTTGTGCAAAGGGATTTAATATATTAATATTAACACATAAACGGTATTAAGCTTCGATATAAATATTATTTTGCTACAACTTGAGGATTAGGAGTTGCCATAAATGAATAAACATCCGTAGCCTAATTATGAAACGTATAAATACTTACAATTCCATAGTCCAATGTATAGCCGGAAAGTACGGCTCTGTCCAGTGAATTTTGTACGTTTTCTCTTTGTCTATGAATTTATAAGATAATCCTAGAAGCAGGACGTATTAGTAAGATTTGAAATAATTAAGAATAAATAAGATTCTTCTTTATGACAGAATTAAGTCTTACTTTCATCTATACTTTCATGTTCGTCCTCGAAGTCTGAGAATTTATCGGCTTCTTCTACTTCCCCGTGTTTCTCCGTTACATGTGTTACCATTTCTTGGTAGGTGGTAATTGAAAATTTACATATCCTACATACATAACACTATAGCAAAAAGAAAAACACAATTTAGTATTTTAGAGGTACATTAAGAAAATACTTTATACTGTTTGCGGTGTGAATTATACCTCTTTAGGAACGAAACTACAGGTAAAAAAATGTTTGCACATATCATCAAATAAAGAAGTTGTGAATTTACAGCCCACTTGATGGCAAGATATTGATCCCTGCGAGTTCAACTCTCTTTTCCATATACCTTTCCACACCCCTGGTATAGACTTTTTCTGTTCTGGCTTTTTTATCACACTTTTCTATAATGTTCAATTAACAAGTTAATGAATCAAATCTTGTTGAAAAGAAAATCGTTACCAACAGTAACCCACCAATAACGAAGGTTCAAGTTTCAGTTTCTTCTCGATAGATGAATTATCTTTGACAAGTTCAGTGAATTCTAAAATTTTCGTCACAGCTCTGAAACCGAAAGGTCATTTTAGGATTTCAGTTCGTTTTATTTAATGTAACTTATGCGAGACTTACTTCTCTGCAGCTTTACGTTTCACTTTTTCATTATCTACTGAAAACAACTGCAATTCTTTCATTCTACTTTGTTCTGCCTGCTTATGTGTCCGCGCATGTATTTCCATAGAAGACGGCATTATGACAGTACAACAAATTGGGCATGTCATCATCAAAGCTTGTTTCTCCTATCGTACACAATAATTATTTACTTTTATACGTACATTTTCAATCTTTTAAATCAAGGGATATTTCAAATTACATACTTCCTCAGACTTTCCGCAAAATTGTATATGAGATATAAAACCATTTGCACTCCGTTTAATAGCTCCACATTTTTCACAAGTCAATTTGCCCTTCTTTTTCTTCACGGCAGCCATTAGTACACTTCTGCATAATTTAATATTATTCTCGAAATCCTAAGGTGACATATTTCTTAATAAATAAAATATAAAGTTAAGAAAAATATTATCATTAATTGGATATTATATTTACCAAAGGTTCATCACCCTGTATCCAACACATATAGTTATGTTTGAGCAAACTGTGTGAATTCCATTGTCTTTTTGGCATTTTTTCTTCACATTTACCACATACTATGTCTACCTACATTAACAATATGTATTTAGAGACAAAAGTATCTTAAAAAATACTAGAGTTATTAAATCTTCAGAAAACTTACTTCTGATGTACTAGAATCAACTGTTACTCCAGAAGAAAGTTCGGCTTTTATCTTTTCTGGAGATGTTGGTCCCTTTAGTTTCGGTACATATTCAATATCTAACATAGAATGGGATGCTTTACCTTTACCACTACTTCTTCCTCTACCTCTACCCCTACCTCTGCCTGAACCTGCTGGTCTACCCCTTTTTCTAACAATGAACGAATTTAAAGTGTTATCTTCACTATCACTACCATTACTGAATCCATCATTACTAGAAATATTATATGAACTTTCACCATGTCTCTTACTATGAATAACTGTTTCTGCAATAGAAAAGTTATCCATTTTTGTCAAACTTCCATCTGATTCGTTCAAAGTGCCTGGAGTTTTTTGTATCAAAGGAATTTTCCTAGGTCTTCCTCTTTTTCTTACTGGTGGTGTAGCTGGAGTAGACTGATGACTAAAATTTTGATTCTCTGAAACTACTGTACTGAATACTACATCATTCTCATTCTGAGTAGTATTTGTGTTAATATATTTCACACTGTCAATATTACATAAACCCGAACTATCATTTAAATCTTCGGTTTCGCGTACTTTTAAATTTGCTTTTATATCAGTTTGTTTTGTATCTTCAGGCAAGGAGTTATTTGTTGATCCTTTAGGTATTTCATTATCATTCTTATCATTCAGTTCCATGTCTCCTACAGTTTCAGCATTCATAAATGTATCATTTAATTCGTCTTTAGAATTATTTTTATTGTTTTTAATATTTAAACGATCTCCAGTAATACTATTGAAGTTCAAAGGCAGTACTTCTGTGGTTATGGCTGGAGTAACAGAATGAATTACATTTTCATATTCCTTGATTTGCAGCTCCTCGTTTAAAAATCTTTTTCGATTAATTGTATCATTTCTTTCAGCTGCATCTGATAAAGTATTAACATTTAGTAATCGTTTTTTTTCTTTACTGCGAGTATTCCTTTTCGTTTGATCTGAAGATGCAGTTTCTTTGTATGATATAATGTAATCATCGAATTTAGTTTGCTTGCGAACGCGTTTAGATCTGCCATGTATATTTTCATTAGTTTCATATTTACTACCTGTTTCCTTCTGATTTTTTGAATTTCCGCCTAAACTCTTCCCACTACTACATTGTTCAATATTTTTATCTATTTCTGGAGGCTTTGGTGTATATTTTGAGGTAGTTTGACTACTTTCTAAATTAGTTGCTTTACTTTTCTTCTTTCCTGTAACATGAAAACTACTTTTCACTGGTCTTGTATAGCTTACTTTAGGTATTAACTTCTCATTGTCTTTGTTAATTTTAGGCACTTTTGTTGGACTTGTCTGGATTTCATTATCTGTATCATCTGTTGATTCAGTTTCACTAACAATTTTCATTGTGGGTTTCGTAACACTCTTTGAATTTGTAGCATTCTCAAAACATTTAAAAACCTTACGATCCTTAGACTCTTTTGCCAGAACACTATTTCGGATATTATCTTTCCTAATAAGCCCCAAAGCAGATACAATACTTTCACCTGTAATAAATTATAAGCAAAATTTCCATTCAAAATAAAACTTAAATAAAAGCTGAATTAATATTAATCATACATAAATATTACTAAATATTTTAATAATTATTGTTACTAATTGACTTACCGTTTACCATAGAATCACTGATCCCCATATCTTGTAATATATTTGGAGGAATAATGATCATTGTTGTGTTACTAGATAATGTACAGCGATTTGTTTTATTAATAGATTGATCCATATCAGCAGCAGGAGTGTCAGACTCCTCTATCTTTTTGCTCATTATTAATACCACCTAATATTAGCATTAAAAATATTAAAAATTGCTTAATTTTAATGGTCATACAATTTATTAATATACGTGAATAATTGAGGAAGGTATGAAATCGTGCATTTTGTTTGTGTCATTCTAAAATACCTTCACTAATTTCAAATTTTATTTATATTGCACTATATCGATGCAACATTTTGCGACAGAAAAAAATATATTACTTAGTAAAAAAAAAATTGACACATGTAGGTTTCGAACGTAAGAACATATAAGTAGACGAAGACGTAAGGCGTTTCCAATCGAGTCTAATATCACCTAACTTGCGATTCCTTTAAAGAGCAATACAAGGCAAAAGCTTGTCGATAGTGAATCAAATATTCATTGAAATGCTGTACAAAGTCATTACATGCGAACATAATTGCTTCTAATTATTTCTTGTCCAATAAAAAAAAGGCAAGGTTAGGTGTGTATTACAGTACATGTGAGAACGCATTCACACGTTATTTTAATATTCTATAATTGAGCGCATTTTATGTAACATACTTACCAAACTCTTTCAAGATGTTAACCCTTGATGAAAAATAATATTTTACCGTGAAAAAAAATATTCGATTTAAATTTTTTGGAACAAGATTCGAACCCGTAATTTCACCTTTGTACACCATTCTGACATCGTAATACTGCATGAAACATGATAGAGTGCTCAATATAGCCAGTCGCAGCGCATGCGTTCACGTTTTGGCATGTTATTTGTTGAACTAAAAAACGTTTTGATAATACACATGTCACATGGGAACAGCATTGCAGATACATAATATTATCGATTATGTGCATATCAAGTAGAAACACGTTTACATATCAATATGCTATATATGAACGTTTGTAGAAATTTATTTATATATCATCTTCTTTATATACATAATATCTAGGTCGACTGGATTTTATGCATTTGTAGCATACCGAATTATCCAGTTTTCTATAAATTAATCCATGAAAATATGTATTTGAATAAATATTAGTTGTTTATGTATAACATTTTTTCTATTCACTATGTGACTTTAAAGTAATTAGTGAAAAACGTGCGTGGATAAAACATAAGACACTGTAATGTATTGTATTTATATGTTTATTTATCAAGATTTTTATAAACTTAAACCATTCTCCTGAGAAGTTCGTTGATTTTATCTTCTCTGTTTCCAAAATCACCGCCTTCAACGTAATGGTTAGTCTTCTTGCGCCATCCACCATTTGGTGTGTTGAGCTAACAACAAAAAGATTAAAGTCAGTATTTTGTAAAGAGAAGTATCCAGTTAATCTTTTAGCTGTTAAAGGCTTATATACACCGAATAAATTTAGCTCACAAAGGAAGTCTATAGTGGTACTGAGCATTGTACTTATGAAAGATACTGTAAAATGTAGGACATGCTGTGCCTATTAAGTGCATATCATGAATGTCGAACTTTATTATCCTTTAGTTTATTCCAACAAGTGAATTCTGTACATGTAAACTATCTACGCGTTATCTAATATTAATGCCGCGTAACGTTTTCTGTTGTAACACGTAACAGCTAAACGGTTAATGTGTTACATGACTTGTTTGAGTTCAACTAAGAAACGCAAATAGTGCAAGCGCATCATGAAGAGAAAACTCATATTACTCTGCGACATAGTAGGAGATTGGTAGAACAATGAACACTTCTACAACCATGCCTATGTCGCAAATAAGGTATTTGGAGTTTAATGTACCTTGAATGGCCATAAGAAATTGCTTGCATACTTGAACTTTGATCCAACTGTGAATATTTCATGGATCAAGTCTTCTGTACAAATAATACCAGCGCGGCCTGTAAAAATGAATTGATTTATTAGTAACACAGTGTTAAGGAGAGCAAGCATTATTGCAATATGATAAACTGTAAGAATTACTGCAAACCTAAGCATAGAAAATACATGTAAAGGTTTTTCAAAAATTCTTTTATTCTTTGACAACATGGAAAGGAGCAGTGTAACTATGGAATACAACCCCTATGGATTTGTCAATATTATAATTCGATAAGAGAAACTCCTAAATTATAACAGTAGAAGAAAAAAGTGATTAATACTAACCAAGCTTTTTCTCAATAACAGCATTGCTGGTGATAGGAATACGCTGTCTATTTATTTTGGCAAATCCCCTCTTGTAAATCAGTTCACGAACTGACTTCAGATTTGGATACCCCCATGTAATATAAGGTTCAACAATACGAAGCATGTTAATGGTTGCTTTGTTCAGTTTAATGAATACGCCATTGTTGATCTGCTTTAAACGGAATAACTGAAGTACCTTGCGTACTTTGGGTGCAACTTGATTCACACTGAAATAATTACACTCGGTCAGGTATTCTGAATAAGTTTTAGTCACAAATTACTTTTAAAATATAAATTACTCTTACCCCCGAATACGAATAACAAAGGCAAGACGTGCTTCTCCAGGGATGTAGTAGTTTCCACGATTTTTGGCTTGTCTCATTAATCTAATTTCATCTCTCTCTTTTGTTCTGTATTCCCTCACATATTTTTCTGCCTTCTTAAAGATTTCTTTCCTTTTTTTATAACGGTTTGCACGTTGCTAAAAATGAAAAAAGATTCAGAGATATATAATATAATAAAAAATCTGAAAAGTAATGAACAATTATAAGGTGTCACCGATAGTGTGAACAAACCATAAACAAACAAGTGGATAACCAATAGCTAATCACAGTATATTAAGTAAAGTGAACTTAAGTACCTTAATCGAGACTTGAAGACGTGCAGCCTTAACTGCTTCGCGAGCTTTTCTTCTTTTAAGTACCGATTCTGGTACTGCTGGCAGCTTCTTAGCCGAAGGGGCAGTTTCTTTCTTTCTGTAAATAAGTGTTCGTTAATGTTGAAAATGCATCTTGTATGCACAAAAAAAATAACAAATTTATTGCATGGTCTATAAAACGTAGGTTAAATTAGGTTCTCCCAAGCAATGTGAAACAAAGTAATTATTGTAAATAATAATCATTCTTAATTCCGTTTAATTTAAAACCAAAGCTCATGTCTTCTTATAAAACCTGTATAACTTTTAATGCTAAAATATTAACTGCAGTGTATCTCATGTTGATCCATGGTATGACTTGTCAGCAGCAAGTTATAATTTTTAATTTTCACGAAAAGTTGAAAAACTGTTCGATATACGTGATACACAAGTTAATAAGAATTAAGAATTACGCATTTCCAGGTTGATATAGTCATTATAATAAGGGATGTTTTCAGATTTCTTTTAGACTGCAACAGCACTTACGCGACCGCCATTCTTCCGCTAGGTAAAGAAATTTTTAATCTCGAGCACTTCACAGCAGTCAAACGTCTTCTCTGAAGTAGGCTTTGAGTCGCTTTTGTTTTGTATAACAGCGGGAAATTTGAAATTGATGCACTTCGTTACATTAGAACACCGACTAGGTATAGAATAGACCTATCATCCAATGCTCTTTTTTTTCCCACGTTCTCTTTTCATTCGTTTTTATATTTTTTTATCTGATAACGTAATATAAGAATCCTAATACGCACAGTCAATTACCTTCTGGTAATTGGTGAGGAAGTAATTAAACAATGAACTTCGACCCAACTAGAGCTTAACTAGTCAAGCTTTCTTCATGAAAAATAGTTTTGATCTATTATTTAACTGGTAATATCTATTGTATTGTATTTCATAAACTTTGGCATCATTGTCAAATTGACAGGATATATTTATCATAGATGGCGTTAGAGAACCATTGGAGGATTGAAAACTTCGAGAAGACGAGAGTAAAATTAATACTTTCGATCTATTAGGAAGTGGAATATCACATTTTCGGGGATAGTGTGTGTCTCTTTGTTTCCCTTTCATGATAGTCATTCCCTCCTGAATTAATCTCCGGTGCATATAAGAAAATATATTGAAATATAATTCGGCGGTAAATATTCTATTTCGTTCAAATAGAAAGTTGAGCAAGCAAGAAAGCGACCAATCCTCACGTTCTTCACCAATCGACGCACCAATCACAGGCCTTATACATAACCGAATCAACCAATGACAGCCAATGAGCCAGCCTAACGGTCATTCGTCTCAGGGAAGCTGGACTGATTAGACGTGTAGTGATCTCGCTCGTGGCGAAGTAAGTATTATTACTTTTCACTTTAAATTATTTATGCTATTAGTATCTACATTACCACTCTATCGTTACATTTGTTTAGTATCTATTCAATTCAATGCAAATAATCGTAAATTAACTCGGTATTGCTGGATAAAGTGAACTGGTTTCACGATTTCTGTTCTCTCCCGGTACCAATTAGTATTTACGCAGTTTTTGTTTAATTTGCAATCTTTAGCGATACTCTTTGAGTCAATAATTGTTTCGTTGTGACTCAGTCATTGTTAATTTAGTATAATTACTTGGTATTAACGTTTATTTTCTGTTCCAGAATTCCGGCTAGAAAGAACGCGCCAACGATGCCAATCCCATTAGACGCAATTTGGCGGGAAATTGGTGAATTCTGGTGATGTATTACAACAAAATAGTTAATATTCCACTAGATATTTTTATTTTAGTACACTTTTACTGTTTTGACCGTAAACTTGATCGCGATTTTCTGATTAACTGTGCTGAAAGCAAACAAGAATTTTTTCGAGAAATATTTCGCGTTCAAACGCAATTGAAGCATTCAATATGGCTTCTTGTTTGACCATTAGGAAATTTAAACGGGAATGTTCCAGAAGTTTCAATTCGAAATACTCATAGTTTACTGGATCTCGGTCGCGAAATTGTTTAAATTTTAATAATTTTTCGAGTTTATCATTACGATGTCATCGTATTTGTATTTATATACGGTTTCGGATGTAAGTTTAATTATACATATAGAAGCTGCGTAGTTTACGATGCTCATCGAAGCTTAAGTAAATAACGAAGCTTTAATCCTTGCAACGATTTTCTCAATATTTATAAAATTCGGTACGCGATGTAGACAGAAATAACGAACATTCTTAAACTCTAACGACGAATGTCTTCAATATAATATATTAATAACAAATATATATCAGTAATGAATATAATATATTGAAACAATGGAGAATTATTTTGGAATATTTTTTAACTATGGTACCTTTGCGTAGTTAAATTCATATTTGAATATTTATCGTCGAATGACAGTATTTTCGTGATAAAAACACTTGGTAAAATATAAAAATAAAAGGGCTAAGCCGGTGCACGTGCGCCGTATTGTATTTCTTTCCCCCCTTTTTTTTCCACAGTATTTGGTGGCCGCGTGCAAGGCGGTCGAGTCGAATCAGTGTTTGTTGACATCGAAGTTTTTTCTGTTTACGCGGAGCGAACTGGCGCCGATTAGGATCTCACCGGAGATGTATTATGGTCTTCGCGGAACTAGAGTCAGTGTTTCTTGCGTACAGTCTCAAATTATTTTCAGAGTTTCGGGACACTCTTTGCTTTGTGTGTCGCGAAAGTAGAATCACTTGTTCGCCGGTTGAGATTTTCGGTCGCGATAGTTTTTTATTTTAATTTTTTTTCTACTTGAAAGTACTCGTTCGCGAAAGTAGAGTCAGTGCATCACTGAAGTGGATTTTTGGGCGAAGCTCTACAAATAGAGATTGTAAGTATCCTTATATTTTATTACTTACACTGTTCAACTGAAACAGCTAGAGTTTTGAGAAGAGGTTATTACGTGTTCTGTTCCTTTGTTTCAGATTTATCAGATGCTGCATAAACAAACACTGCAGAGGATGTCCTTGGGCGAAGCTGCACCATTTTTCAAGATTCGTCGAGAGAGAATATTAAAGGGAGCTCTTCAGTCATCGGGTGAGTGAATGTTTTTATTCCTCCAGTCCCCAATCATGTCGTAGGACGATTGGTCCGAAACGGCACGGGCGACTGGTTGTATACGTGCTTTTGGCGAGTACAGTGAAAACGGATATGCAATCGTACGATTGCATATCCGCGAGTAATATATGATCTGTTATGTTTCTTAGTTAGGTTAAGGTCTTCTTGTACGCCGCGTTTATTATTAGTAACATAATTCATAACTATTTTGTATTAAAAGAGTATGAGTTGAATATTTAATGTTCGGCTTAAAGGCGAACATCATACAGATGAAATCACATTGGTTATGATGTACTTTCTTTAAGTGTTCAATTTAACATGAGATATTAATCTTGGATATTTCAATAGAGATCATTCTATTGTTTAAATAGTTGTTATTTTTTTATTAATTGAGTATATATTGAGAACGTGGTAGTATGTTATTTATTTCACTAGAAATGATTTTCACTGATGATGATATGTGCAATAATTTCAGTATAGTCATTTTAATACAGTCGTTTGGTATCATTTATGAATGTAGAACGAAATACGATCTACGTAAGGAAAATTGCAGAACATAGAAAATACAATATATTCACAATGGTCTATAAATAACGGTCAGCTGATTAAAAGAATAATAATCAACTTGTTAACGTGTGAAATAAATATCAACCGTAGATTCGAATATAGAGTAGAAAGAACAGAAACCACACCGGTATGTTTAAAATAGAGGGGAAAACGTGGTGGTGCCTTCTTTGATAGGCATGTTATAGCAGTTAGCGCAATACCACGAGACGCGACAGCACGTTTCAATCCCGGAACCAGTGTCGCGAGACACAAAGGTATCATTCGTATTTGCAAGTTCCATGAAATAATGGAACACGTGTACTGGGAATCGCGATAAAGTATCGGTGCATAAAAAGAAGACGTATTAAGTTATGTCACCTGTGCATCGATATGCACGACCTAGTGAAAAACCGCGTGTTATGGAACAATTTAACACGTTGTGCATGTATGACCATTGAACAGTGCATTGTGATTTCCAGTTATCGTGGCCGGTGTTTTCGTTGCCAATGGCAAAGAACGCATACGGTTGCGTACACGGGTAGAGTACCGAGACGTACTGGCGTGTACTCACGTCCACTTTAATGGAGTGTGAGCGTTAAATGCAGGGAAGGTACTACTGTGTTTCACCAGCATGTATAGTGTTCCACAAACATATTTGTATGGTCGACGTATATACTCAGAAGGAATGAGTATTTATATTCTGTCCTTTAAAAAAGGGCAGGCCCAGAGGTGTCCATCTACTCTTGCGAGCAGCATTCTTTCCCTCCGGAGGTACCCTGACTATGGGACTTGGATTGACTCGCTCGAGTCAATCTGAGGTCGGTAGTCGGGGAAACCTACGAGGGGAAGCTTGTAATTGCTTGTAGCTCGTGGGCGGCATTTGGACACCTTTGGTATTAGAGTTAATTTTTATGATAATTAGTATTTAATAAAATTTTATTTCACCCATTAGTCTGTTAATTATTATTTTCAACAGTTATACCGTCATTTGTAGACAAATAACTAAATGAATATAACTTAAATTTATTTACTATTTGAATACAGTATATAATATATCAGTTTACTTGAGAATATGCAATTCTAGATTAACAGTTTGTACTGAATTATATCAGAAATACGTACTACCACGTTGCTCTAAGACATAAATAAAAATTAAGTAGTGTATTTTGATACACTAAAAAAAATGATATTACAGACCATGTACAAGAAGGCGTTTCGCGACGGGTAGATCTCTGCGTCAAAGTGACATGTTTGTTACACTTATGTTATGTCTTATATGGACTTTGACGACGGGATCGCCCGAGGATTATTCAATACATAGAGTCATTTATCTAATTGCAGAGTCTTGCTTAGAGTCTTAATAACTAAATTCTACAATATTAATAAATAGTCCATTTTTGATTTTCAATTTTTATTAATTCAAAGTCGAGTCACTTTTATTGCAAAATGAAATGAAAAAGAATAAAAGAGAAGTAGCCCGTTAGAAGAGCAAAAAGTAATAATTATTTTAGTTAGGATTTTCAGGATAATTATTCCGAGTTCGTTGCTCGAACCCTTTCACGTGCCCAGGTGCTATTTGGTTGGGCGAGAGCAACGGGGAACGATGACTTGATTTCATATAATAATAACATGTCTATGCGACTGGCAATGCGTTAGCTTACCGTGCACGACGTATTTTCCACTTATGTGTGTGTGTGATTAGGCAGTGGAATTGCGTCGTTTAGATTTCTATCAATTAACATTTCATCTGTAATTGTTCCGTGGAACAATTTCGCACAATTTCCGGTATCGGTCGTACATATTCCTTTGCTTTATACAATGTTTATAATAAAATTTCCATGGAATATGTACCGGTTTAGAGTATCTCGCTATCAGACGAGAAAATTAACGCGTAATCGATATAAAGTGTACCAAGTATACGTATATTGCTTAAACAA